AATACCGATTGTAGTTCACATTAATGGATCTCGATGTGGAGTTGACCATTTACTAACTACGTCTCCAAAGTGAAGTTTCAACCAACAAAAAAATAAAAGTGTTCAATTGTCGAATTGTTTATCATGAGAAGAAAAAGTCAATAAAATAAAAACAATAAAAAAGAAACACCAAATACACCCTATAGTCGTGCTCTTCCCACTTACGGCTGGTAAAAGCGGAGAGAGAGTGCATTAACTAACGAACCGAGTAGTAGAGAAAATCTCAAGAGAAGAAGAAGCAAAAAAATTTCTTTAGTGGCGTCCAAAGAAATTCTGCGTTGATACGATGTTGGTGGAAAAACAAAAACTTGTTAAAGGAGCTATAAATCCTTGAACACTCAACCAAAAAAACGAAAAGAAAAGAAACACATAAATAAAAATAGACCAACAAAAACCGCTAATCCTCTTCCGAAGCAAAGCAGAAGAAAAAAAATAACTTACTAAATAAAGAGAAGAGGGTAAATCCGCTAAGAAAAAAAAAACAAAACATCCCAATCGGAGAGTAGTAACTAAACGAACGATACACTACGAGGTGTAAGTGGTAGGTATATGGACCAAAGGAACCCGGATTGTACCACAACTTTCTCCAGAAATTTAAAAGGATTACAACGTTAGTAGGTTTACCCCCCACAACATGGAGGCAATGGATATAGGTGATAAGGAGGACTCCTCCGCAACAAGAAAATATGGTACAGCAGATGAGGCGGGGGGAGGTGGAGAAGGTGGGAATGAACTTGGCGGCATTGCTGCTGATGACGGCGCTCTATCAACAACAAATAGTTCAAATTTGTCAACAAAAACACAGCACCAACAACAACAACAAAATAAAGTGCCTACCGCTGCTGTTCTCGCTAATTCAAATAATGCAAACGATTTTGAAATGTTAGAAACGAAGGATAAAAATGAAAATTCTCAGAATGCTGGCATTCACACGGACGAAGAAACAAATACAAAAAATAATTTATCTCCAAATAAAACGGCGACAACAACAATAGTGGAAGATTGTAACGAACTACCAGGACGTAGATCATCAAACAATGACAAGTCAATGGCGTTAACATTAACGCCATCCACAACAGAGGAGCCATCACAATCACCCACCACATCGATTGGTGGCGGCGGAACTGGTGGTGGTGGTAGCGCCAGTGTTGATTCCGATGGCAAAATGCAATCTCCAAGTCTAACATCACCAGCAGCTTCCACACCCGCTTCAACACCACCCTCGGAAACTGGTCAAGCAGATGGTGGTGGTGATGGCGGTGGCGATTATTCACCACATGATATTACCGGCGGCAATAGTTCTGCGGAACATTCCTCTCCCACAGCCGATGTTGCTGACCAAACTTCCATGGATGTAGAAAAACCGCAACAGAGTCCAACACTACAGCAGCAGCATCCACCAGCCACGACGCCACACATTCAACATGCCATCAATGTGGTGCGAAATGGTACCATACCGAATGCTGGTAAACCCTTGATGTCAACCATCAGTAAGAAATTTGAAAAATCCGCCAAATCAGGACGTACCCGTAAACCGAAAGCGGCAGCTGGACCCATGTATGAAAGTGAGGTAAGAAAAGAAAGGAAAATAATCGAATGTGGAAGGAAGAGAAAAATATATGTAGTCATTGGAAGTGCTCTATTCAAGAGATCGTCTAGAATAATCATTTATAATGGTTATCTATATGATTCCTAAATTCTGGAAGATCTATTGAATAGAGTACTTCCAGAATTTCTTCTGTACCCATAGATGACTTCGTATAGAAAACCTGACATTGGTTCTTCTTGTATGTTTAGCGAACTTCTATCAGGTCATTTGTGTATATAGGATCGATCTCTATAAGGTCCTCTAGGTATGACATTGGACCAACGCATAAAACTCTGAGCTCGTCCTCGAGTGCAGATCAGTTTTGGAAACACTCACAACTATCGGCTGTGTTGGGTACCGGGACACCGTGACATCATGGATTGAGACGTTCTTTGACGTACGAGCGCCAATGAACTCTGGCACAACGTTGCACCCAGGTGCAATTTGTCAAGATCTATCTGGCCGACTCTGTCAACCAAGAGAACAAACTCACTGTTGAACCTGAGAAAAGCTAAAATCAGAGTAATGACAGGAGTCATTACTGGTCATTGCAATATCAGGGCCTTTACTGACCATTACTGCAGAAATAGTCATCGAAACTATTCCCACCTTCCTCCTAATGTTTATTGTTAGCTTCTTGTCCTTCCTTTATATAGGATACCTCTTCTCAATCCTCTAGAAGGTCCTCTTGGTAAAAAGGGACAATACGAGTTCTTCTGTGACTGTGAAAAGCTTCAAGGAGTTCTCGTGTGTATTTACATTTGAAAACATTTGAAATGTCTTCCATGTGTAGAAGACCTCAGAAAATTGTTCTGGGCAGAGAAGGCATCTGGAGGTATTTCTTATATTAAAAACCTTTATATGGTCTCCTGTAAGTAAAAGTAGTTTTGTAGGGTTTGTTCTCTGAAAGGTCTTCTTAATGTAAAATACCTGTCGAAGGTCATCTAGGGAAGGGTAGACGTCTAGGTATTTTTTTATTGATCTTCTTTAAATAGACTATATTATCTTCTGTAAATAGACGAATTTTTGTAGGTGTTTTCTGTAAACAGAAGACCACTAGAAGGACTTCGGCTAATATGAGGCCACAAGATGTTGTTCTTCTGTCAATGCATGTTTTTTTTTTGCAGCTCTCAACTTAACATTTTAACACTACAGACAGAACCCTTCCCATTAACTCCATCATCCCATACCATACACACATCATCCACAAGAGAACCTCTAAGAGCCTTTCTGTCTATATCGGAATTCTAAGAGCTAAATTACGATCTCTAAAGGGTATTTTGCTAGAAGAACGTCGGTACTCCTCTAGAAGAAAGATCTTCAAAAGGTATATGTCCAGAATGTCTTCTGCGTATAGAAAACCTCTATAAGTTCTTGTGCGTATAGAGGACCGCTACAAGGCCTTCAGTATACCTATGATCATTAGAAGATCGTTTAAGTGTAGAGAATCAATGAACGATTTTCTGAGTAAATAATACTTCCAGAAGGTGAACTGTGTGAAAAGGATCTTTAGAAAGGTAAATTAGGATCTCTAAAGGGTATTTTGCTTGTATATAGAACGTCTCTCCAAAAGGTTTATGTCCAGAAGGTCTTCTGGGTATAGAAAACCTCTATAATTTATTGTGCGTATAGATGACAACTACGAGAAATGAATTGAGAAGTTTTTTCTATACACAAAAGGATACTAGAGGATATTATATCTAGTAAATACTTATCGTCTTCAAAAGGCCCATAAATATCTTAATTTTCTGGAAGACCCACAGAATTTATGGTGTATCTATAGGTACAAAAATATTTTTTTTTAAAAATCCAGGCCCTATTTAAGTCCCCAAAAATATTCTTTTAAAAAATCCACGTCTTATTGAAGTTCCTAAAAATACAACCATAAGAAACTAATTGACATTTTTTAAATTTGATATATGTTTTTTTCTATATTCTTTCAGATAAGTGAAAATAAAACGGGTATTAAGTTATGTATTAAAAAATCCGATAGTTCATTAAGTGCCGTCACAGCTACAGCAGCGGCCACAGCAGCCGTTAAATCAGCCACAACATCGGGGAGAAGTCGTAAAAGTTCAAGGAATCCAAAACAACGTATAAAACTGAACAACGACAGCAATGATGAAGCCGATGAATTGGATTATGAACCTAAACGGAAAAAGGAACGTAGTTCCAAGCGACAATCGGCCACAGGAACGGGCGGCTCTAATGCAGGGCAAGCTGGCAATGATGGTGATGAACACAAACGTCCCATTGTGGAGCAAAGTATATGGGGTAGAGATTTACCCGAACCAGTGCTTTTTAAGGTAAATAATTAAAAATATATATTTAAATATTTTTTGTTAATTTCTGTTTTCATTTCTTTTTGTAGATTTTCCAAAATGTCGTCGAAAAGGAAGGTTGCCTACCGACCTTATTTCGTTTGGGTCGTGTATGTTCCCTGTGGCGCCGTGTCTCTTTATCACCCACCTTGTGGCGTTCGCTAGATCTCACCACATGGATTAAAGAGAAATATCGCACGGAGCTGAAATTAAAATGGTTTGTCGATAATCGCTGTACATGTTGCACAGAATTGAATGTTTGTAAGTATTAAACAAAATATTTGCTATTGTGTTTGTTTTTTATTATAAAATAAAATATTTTTGTATTTTCTTCTTACAGCAAACTTCAAAGTCACAGACATTAATTGTTTTCTAATGAAATTAGCTGATGGTGCACCGAATTTAACAAGTATAACCCTATCGGGTTGGAAAGGTTTCTCATGTGATCATTTGGCATATTTAGTTGAAAATATGAAAAAACTCGAACGTCTAGACTTAAGTTCTGTGAATGTAAGTACTATAACGAAGTTATATATGAAGATGAGAGACACAAGAGGCGTTTTAAAAGTCAAAAAAATCCTAAAAATATTCCTTTAAAAATCCATGCCTTATTTAATAGCCTAAAAATATTCCTTTAAAAAAATCCATGCCTTATTTAATAGCCTAAAAATATTCCTTTAAAAAATTCAAGCCTTATTAAATAGTCTACAATATTCCTTTAAAAAATCCATGCCTTATTTAATAGCCTAAAAATATTCCTTTGGAAAACCCATGCCTTATTTAATAGCATAAAAATATTTCTTTAAAAAATCCATGCCTTATTTAATAGCCTAAAAATATTCCTTTAAAAAATCCACGCCTTATTTAATAGTCTAAAAATATTCCTTTAAAAAATAATTTAAGACCCTAAAATCCACGCCTTATTTATGACTCTAAAAATATTCTTTTAAACAATCCACGCCTAATTTAAGACCCTAAAATCCACGCCTTATTTATGACTCTAAAAATATTCTTTTAAACAATCCACGCCTAATTTAAGACCCTAAAATCCACGCCTTATTTATGACTCTAAAAATATTCTTTTAAACAATCCACGCCTAATTTAAGACCCTAAAATCCACGCCTTATTTATGACTCTAAAAATATTCTTTTAAAAAATCCACGACTAATTTAAGACCCTAAAATCCACGCCTTATTTATGACTCTAAAATATTCTTTTAAACAATCCACGCCTAATTTAAGACCCTAAAATCCACGCCTTATTTATGACTCTAAAAATATTCTTTTAAAAAATCCACGCCTAATTTAAGACCCTAAAATCCACGCCTTATTTATGACTCTAAAAATATTCTTTTAAAAAATCCACGCCTAATTTAAGACCCTAAAATCCACGCCTTATTTATGACTCTAAAAATATTCTTTTAAAAAATCCACGCCTAATTTAAGACCCTAAAATCCACGCCTTATTTATGACTCTAAAAATATTCTTTTAAAAAATCCACGCCTAATTTAAGACCCTAAAATCCACGCCTTATTTATGACTCTAAAAATATTCTTTTAAAAAATCCACGCCTAATTGAAGACCCTAAAAATATTCTTTAAAAAAATACACGCCTTTTCCTATGTTCCTTTCTTGCTTCTTCTATTTTAGAAATTTAATTGATTTTTTATATATTTTTAAATAAATTTATTTTTATTTTTCCCCTTAGGTGGAAATGAATGCTAGTAAAAGTGCTGTGGGTGTGCAATCATTGTGCAATGCAATGCAAGTTATGGGTGACAAACTGACACATCTTTATTTGGCGCACAATCGTTTAGCTGGTATACCGCAATTAGTCAATGTTTTATCGGTAAGAATATACCCCAATCTAACAATATATCCTCATATTAAATATCGAATATTTTTTATTTGTTCTTCCTCTCAGACACATTGTCCAAATTTAGTTCTATTGGATCTATCCAATGTTACAACACAAGCCACATCTCATGGTATATTACATGTTGAGAAATTACAGCAAGGCTGTCCAAAACTGAAAGTTTTACGCATTACCAATTCGCATATAACACTGAGTACAGCTTCCCTACAAGAAATGGTAAGTAGATCGGTTCTTCTTCTAAATTAATTTTTTAATTTGAATTTGATTTTTTTTTTTTTAATTTTAATAGATGGATTCTCCTGGTTTTCCCGAACTCGAAGAACTTTCCGTAGCCGTTATGGATGAATCACGAGTCATTGGTGATGAACATATACAACGTATATTGAAATCATCATCGAAATTGAAGCTATTAGATGTACGTGGTTGTGCCCGTTTAACCCATGAAAGTCTAATACGTCTACCAACCTGGGATGTAAAACATTTATTTCTATCTGGCTGTTCGGTGACAAGAGATATGGGGTGAGTTATGTGCAATTATTATATTTAGCAAATCGCAGAAGAAGAAGGAAAATCGTTAAACATTATATCGTTGAATTAGTCAATGTGGGGGACTTTTTTTTAATTTTTTAATTTATTATTTTTTTAGAAATATTATTTGAACAAATCCTCACATTTTTAGTCCATAAAAAAGCTCCTTGAAAGAATCCTCACATTATTTTAGTCCTTAAAAATATTATTAAAAAAAATCTGACATTATTTTAGTCCCTAAAAATATCCTTTGAAAAAAACCTCACATTATTTTAGTACCCTAAAAATATTCTTTGAGAAAAAAACTCGTATGAACTAGTATTATTGGCACAACAATTAACAAAATGACGGAACTTTGAACCGATTGGCGTTATCCTAGTTTATACTATAACTATACACTCACAGAGAAACGTCCCAAAATTTGAAATCGATTGGGTTATTAGTTTTTGAGTTATCGTGCCCGCCATTCGCAAAAACACTGTTTGGAGAAAAACGCGTTTAAAGTTTGAGAAGCCCTCTTGCTGTCACTTGATGCTAACACAATAAATCGGCAATATCTTCAAAAATTGTTGAGATTTTCACTCGAAAATTTATAGGAACATTCGAGTGTAGGTTCGAATTAAATCGAAATACAAAATTAAAGTTTTTGAAACCGAGTATGGGGGGAGTCACCTTAAGTCTCTAAAAAAAATTCTAAGACTTATTTTAGTTCACTCACTTAAAGAAGTTCCTGAGACCCTTACGTATTGGATAGATAAAATGCTAAACAGCATAATTATAAATTCAAGTGTTAGGAAAACGGTAACTACAGGTACACCTCAGGGAGGGGTGCTCTCGCCGTTGCTATGTCTATGGGTAATTAATAACATAAAGTTGTAGCTTATGGTGATGATATTGATTTTCGGAAAATTTCCATCAACAATCTTGGAGCTTATGTAAAGAGGCTTACTGACGCTGTCACGTTGGGCCAGGGCGAACGGCCTTGGTGTAAATCCAACAAAGACGGAACTGGTTATGTTCACTAGAAAGCGTAAGCTTGGCGTTTTGCTCCACCAACATGGAGTGCAACTTCATCAATCACCCGAAGCAAGGTACCTTGGCACAATCCTGGACTGTTAACTACGTTGGAATAGAAACTCTGAGGAACGGGCGAAGAGAGGGCTGATTGCACTCTATACATGCAAGAACATCTGGCCAATAAATATCGAAGCAGTCTCTAAAATAAGTCCCTAAAAATAATATTTAATTTATTTTGATTTGATATATATATATATATATATATAATAAATTGTTTAAATTTTAATATTCTTCCTCCGTTTTTTTTTTTCATTTAGATCTGGTCTGGAGTTAATTGCCTCCAAATGGGCTCACAGCCTCATCGAATTGGATCTCGCCTGGGCCAATGTGCAACAACCCTTGGATAATGCCTTACGTGCCTTGGCCGATAAGGGTGCCGAGTCACGTTTAGCGTAAGTTCAATACATGACATTTTTATTTTAATTTTTTGTTTAATTAAAATTTCTCCTCCTCCCCCTCCCCTTTCCCTTTGCAGTCATCTAAATCTATGCGGTTCATCGGTTTCCGAAGATGCGGTCAAGGAGATTCTGGCTAATTGCCCGCTAATGAGTAGCATTAATTTGGCATCGTGTCGTGGTTTACCGCGTGGTGTCAAACGACAAATGCAAGGTCCACAAGAGCTCAATGAATTGCGGGAAGTTTTAAAGGTTCAATTAAAAGTCAAATTACCCGAGACCAATGCAGCAGCAACCAGTAATTCTTCATCATCGACGGCGGCGGTGGCGACGACGACGAAAACAAGTGCAAATAGCAATGATGGAGGTGGTGGCGGTGGTGGGGGTACTTTACGCAGTCCATAGTCGTCGTCCCCTGCATAAATTGTTTACATAAAAATTTTAAATTTAATAATTGTAGTTTGTATTTTTTGTATTTGTTTTTCATTTTCAGTTACCGTATATTTTTTTTCATTTCAAATTTATCTTTTGGATAGTTTTCTGTTTCAAAGCTAAATTTGTATTAGCCAACAAAAAGCAACTCAAAATCGTCTTTGTGGGAGGAAGGAAAATAATTTGATTTTTTTTATCAAGTCATTATTTTTTTATTCATATATTAAAAATGGACGTATTTTAGAATTAACAGTTATGGACCTAAACCGAATTAAGAAAATAAATTATAAATTTTGTTTATAAATCTGTATAAAGAAATAATATTGGAATTGGACATTTAAAACATAAAACGAAAAACCCAAAAAAAAATATCATTTGGAATTTTTAAAATTTCAAATGGATTTTTTTATATTTTTTTTTAAATTTAAAATTTTCAAAGATATTTTAATATTTTATTTTATAATATAAATAAATTGGGATTTAAATTTGGACTTAAACTTTTTAATATTTTTAAATAGAAAACAATTAAGTATTTCAATTAAAAAGCATGTTAACATTTTGGAATACGTTTTTTGGCGTATAATTAAATTTAATATTTTTTCAATAATTCCCTGGTAAATTAAATCCTTCATAATAGTCCTCCTGCAAGATATTTTACAATTTGTTTTCAAGTTATTTTTCATTCTCTTTTTCTATATATCACTCAATGTAGTAATGTGTAAATTAATTACAAATTTTATCAAATTTAATAAATAAACTAAATCAATAACAAAAGAAAAAACAAAAACCCGCGCCATTTTTCCCCCACTCTTTGCAAAATTCCAAAAATAAAACACAAAGCAAAAACTAAAAACATACAAACAAAACAAAAAAGCAACAACAAAACAACCAATTAAAAAAAAGGAATCCAAAACAAATAATTATTATGGCAATTTTTTCTATACTATATATTATTTTAAATTTGAGAAATTTAAAATTTATTATACATATATATATTTTTTTAAATATTAATTTTTTTAGCTATACTAAGAAATTTTGATTATGTTTTTAAGCAAACAAAAAATTAAACCAAGCAAATTATACGTATTTCCTTCCACTCCTAATCAACCACAAAAAAATCAACAACTAAAACCTCCTTCTCCTTAATTTGTGCAAAATATATATATTTTTTTTTAATTTTTATATATACTTTTTTATTTTGTAACAATTTTTTTTACATAGATTTTCCTCTCCATGCCCAAAAAAAAAAGAATTATATATATCTCTCATTTAGAAAAAAGGAAGTAAAGCAAAAACAAACAAGAAACCAATGTAATTTTTAAGAAAATTATATTTTTTGTTGCATTCAAGAAAAGAAAAATAAAAAAATCATAAATATTTTTAAAAATAATTCGGTGTATCAGGATTTAATTTATGAAAGAAAAAATTTCCCATATTGGGTAAGTAAACAAATTATTGTTTCTAAGGGCTCCTTAATGACTGTCAATTACGATGGAATAGGAACGGGCGAAGAGAGGGCAGATTTCACTCTATGCGTGCAAGAAGTCCATTGATAAAAGTTGAGGGGCTAAAACCATCGACTATACACTGGAGGTAGAGCCCATCCTTTCCTCTTGTTTGGTGGCACTGCTTGTGCCACAAGTCGACATCCAGCAAACTAGACAAGGTACAAAGAGCCGACTCGATTCTAATAGCTGGTGTCGCGAGAAGCACCTCACAAGCAGCCCTGAACGCAAAGTTGAACTTAAGGCCTCATAATTAAGTGTCAGGCAGCGCGTAGCGCCCTAAAGGACTAAGCAGAATGCTCGCGTTGAGCCATCCGTTGCGTTACGTGTTATCGAAAATACAACAACCACAAGAAAACGATAACACAAACGCTCGAAGTTGATGTGCGCTGCGCTTCGGAGTTAAATATATTTTAACTTTTTGCGTGCGTTAACGCGATAACAAAAAAACGCTCCACTCGAGCATTCTGCTTAGCCCTTTAAGGCTGCATAAAAAAACCTATGGCGAAATTGTAATTGCGGGCATGGATGTATCCTGAAGGAAATAGGGTATGACATTGGACCAACGCGTAAAATTAAACGACGACTGGAACTGGAGTAGCAACCCTCCTCTGGACGGTCTGGCTTTTTATACAAACCAAGGATGCAAGATGGAAGAAGGTACAGGGGCTGGCGTCTACTGTGAAAGGCTAGTCCTTGAACTTACCTACAAGTAGCTGGATAGCAATTGTATTGTTTTCCAAGCTGAAATCTTCGCTATTTGGAAGGGGCGCGGGATTGATATAAAGTCTGGATGGAGAGATCGTAGAACTGCGTGTTTATCTTTGTGGATAGTCAGACGGCTCTTAAAGCCATCAAAGCTGAGGTCGTCCTCGAGTGTAGAGCAGTTTTGGAAACACTCACAGCTATCGGCTGTGTTGGGTACCCCAGGACATCGTGGGTAACGAAAAATCAGACGAATTATCTAGACCACCTATCTGTCATCTTTTTCGGAACTTTGAGGCGTTCTTCAACGAACGAGCGCCAATGATCTTTGGCACAACGAACCTAGGTGCAATGTGTCAATATCTCTGTCAACCAACAAAAAAACAAACTCACTGTTGAACCTGTTCTGGCCTACAGACAGTACAGACTAGTGGGTGCACACTTTCTACCGTCTCTAAGCTTCTTTTCAACCAAGGAACCTGATTTAACCTACCGCATCATTAGAAACCTAAAGTGAATAGGAAAGTGCAACCTATGTTTTCTGTCCAATTGCCACATATCGACTTGTCTGCTTTTTTGTGCACGGACACAGGATGCTGAGCTGCCATTTTACCCAAATTGTACTAATCAGCTGGTGCATTCTCCTGATCAGCATCTAACCAACGGTCTTGAATAGTTCGGCTGGTAATCCATCGGCACCTGCTGCTTTTGTTTTTCTTCATTTAGTACCAGAAGCTTTTCAAAATGCTCCTTCCAGATCCTCAACACGCTATCTGTATTTGTGTTTTACTCATTGGTAAAATGTACGGACTTCATTCTGACTCCTGTACATCTCGATTTACTCACGTTTTTCTTGTTCTTTCTTCTGTTTTACTCGTTGGTAAAGTTTCCGAACTTCATTCGGACACCTGTACATCTCGATTTGCTAACGCTCGCATTTTTCAAAAAACACTAAATATTGGAAACCTCTGCACGTCACATTAGTTTAATTTCAATTTATTTCTGATTTTTTCTTTATGAACTCTTCTTCCTGGGTCACGTCCTACTAAAAGTTAGAATGTTTAGAGCAATGTATCAGTGCGCAGCAAAGCTACAGAGTTGACTTTCTCCATTGCTGGTGTTTTATGTTACGCGTTCATAGGTCGACTGCAACTTTTCTTAGGAATTTTAGCACATTGTTCAAACATTCTAAGCTTTGTAGATTCCTGAAAACATATTCTTGTATTATTAAATTTACGACATCCAAAGATTATGTGTTGCGTACGGCTTCTCCGCAGTCCTCGCATATGTTATCTGGTACCACATTCATTTTGGCTAAGGTGCTCTTGCAGAAACAGTGATTTGATTTGTTTTTGTGAAAAAGAGTTCAAATTACAATTCTTAAACCAGTGTGTTCTTGTCAGTGAGGGAAAGATTCTATAAAAATGAGAGTTACCATTGCTCGCTACTTGCACATAATAATTACTGAATTTCCTCCAAGTTAAAGTAAACCTTTAACTCGGAAGCAATTCCGATGCCATGTTGTAAATAATGCATATTGGGGTTGACCTCATTAAACCTAAAGCTTTTCTTAAACTCTCTTTAATGCACGTTTTTAGTTTTATTTTCAGACTCTCTAGTCAGGTTAGATAGGGATGAAGCACCATATTCTATCTTTGATCTGACGAAGATTTTATAAAAGTGAATGGCTCTACTCGGACTAACACCAAACTTGCATCCGCTGTAAATTTTTATAAATTTTCAATTGGATCTAATGGCGTTGGGTTTTTCGTCCATATGTACCTTGGCGGACCCACATGCCGTGATGTTGACTCCCAGATGCTTGATTACGCTGTGGATTTGAAAAAAAAAATCGAAAATGCACTTCGCGCCATAAATTTCAACGTAATTGTAAAGTATAAAGCACCCTTTTTTAACAGCTGTTTTCATTTGAAGAAGGCGCCAATTTTGCAAGGCGTTAATAAAAAGACATCAGCACAGCTTTAATAAACGTGAACACATTTATTATTTGGACAGGATCGCAGATATACCTTTGATCCTTAAACTGCAGGAAATATGAAGAATTGAGATACTTTATACAGGTGGATATATTTGCTGTTCTTTAAAATTACAACTTGGGTTCTTTTTTATCATTTTAACATTTTTCCACTAATAATATTATTTCCATTTTAATAAACAACTGAAAATTGTAGGCCCCCAGAGGACGGTAAGGTTCGTTAACATTTCTCCGTTGGCCGTATAAAAAAGAAAATGCCATCATCACTAAAAATAAGCCAACATTATTTTGCCAGATGTCACCTAACTCACAAACAAAAAACAGCTAATTTATTTCTGGTATGTAGTATGCGTTTTAGCTATTAATAACTTGGGTGTTTTTTCTCTCCTAGATATAAGCTAATGTGGAAAAAAAATTAATATGGTTCCTAATGTATCCACAACATTTACATATTTAATAAAAAGTAACAATTTCAACAATAAAATGCTAGAATTGATTGCGGGTAAAGACCTCCATTATAAAGATAACACCAACACCTTTTAGTGTTATATAGTATATACACAAACACCGTTGTCTTTGATAATTGCACAAAAAACGCAATAGATTTATAGCAGATAAATTCAAATCACCAAAACACAATTAATTATTTATTCAAACAGCTGAGGCATTTTTTTAATGGTTAGTTTTTATTCGTTTTTCTCATTTTTGTGAGGGGGGTTGATGGAGGGGGCTACACTATATAGTATGCATATGCCCGGTTTATCTTAACATCTTATTAATTAAAAAAAAAACAATTATTAACAAAATATATAGATTTCAATGATAAAAAAAAACAAATGAATACCGGCCGCTGTCCAACAAGTAGTTATCGGTTTAACGAAATTTCACTTTTTTTCCATCAATGACTGAGAAAAGCATTTTGAATGCATCTAAAAACTATTAAGACACACAAAAAATATATATGATTGATGATGTAGATGATGTCATTGGCAGTAACTGCTTGTTTTACACCCCGTTTACTTGATTTGCTTATCAATATCTTCGAAATAGTCTTTGCCAACTTTGACAATAACAGCACCAGTGGCTAGGCCGGCGACTGTGGCCACAGCAGCATTATCTGAGGGACACACCGATTTCAAGACAGCCCAGAATAGTACACTACCCATGGCCCAGAGACCGCCACCCAACATGGCGTAAAGGCCGCGCTTACCATTGGGAACAGCCTTCAGGGCAGGACGTCCATAAATGTAGAAAGCTGCACCAACAACCTATTTTTTTTAAATAATTACAAATAGGTTAAGCTAAAATAATACCATAATTTACTGAACCTACAGAACTCAACAGCAAAGCATTTGTCAAATCCTTACGGGGACTAAGAATCTTCGAGACCAGCGAAGGATTCATAACATTCAGAGACAATGCTCCATAACTGGCCAAACCGTTAATGGGAATGTAATAGTAGTAAATGTTTTCTTTGGTGAATGGTTTCAAGCCAATCTTATCGCACAAGGTACAAACTTTGTTCTCAGCCATTGTTGTTATTGTATTGTTTGGTTGGTGTAGTTTAGTTATAAAGTTTTTCTTGAGTAATTTGCGAAATAATTTGCAAAGTTGCTCTTGCTAAAATGCGGTGGATTATATAAAAAAGCGGCTGTTTAGCTGTCAATTAGAACGGGACGCCGGTTATTGCACTTTTCTAACGGCGTTTGAGGTTAACATTTAGCTGACGGCGTTAAATAACGGTTGAACAATGTATTTTCAATACAACATAACACAATTAAAGAGTCAAGCGTTTGTAAGCTTGTTATGTCAAATAAAAACATTATATGAAACGAAATATTAGTTTTAGAGCACAAAACCCGATACAGACACAATTAGAAATGTCTGTTCGTTCTTGCTGTAGCAGTTTAATATGCTTTGTTGCTCCATGAACGTATTAATCAATGTTTTCATAATTTATAACGTCTCAAGTTCTGCTGACCAGCGACTTGAGAACCTTGTTCACAGACAGTTGTGGTTTGCGACTTAAACTGTCAAATGTGACCTTGCACCGACCTGCATATTCAGATCGAACGCGTTAATCCTGTTCTCAAGTCCAGTGAACTATAGAATTGGCATTTGAGATCGGATGCATTTTGTAAATCAAAACGTAATTTAGATTGTTATGTGTCAATTATAGAGGAATAAACTGGGAAACACATAAGAGGACGTTCAGGTTTGACATTTTAAGTTGGCTTGAGGTGAATAACAAAAAAGCAACTAGGCACGTGTGGCTTCTTCTGCCACAATATACGCAATAAGTGTTTGTGTTTATTTGACATTTTTTCAACATAAAACTAAAACCGTGGAGTGGAAGAGAACAATTGAGACCGACGCGCGTGGAATTCTTTTTTAAGCTCTGCTCGTGGAACAAATGTTTTGTCACAAGCCAGCTAAGGTAGTAAGTAATTTAAATTGACGAGATATTTGTATACGACTTTGACATAACAAGCCACAATATGAAAAATTTTTAATTTATATGTTCCTATAGCCTACCTAGAATAATTGTATCTTTCTCTCCCCCTTCTCAAGCTCCAAATATCTTGTACTTTAAAATTTCTTCAATGAAGGGAAAATATTCGACTGTTAGACAGACTTGTACCGGAAGAGCAATGTGGGAATACGCTTCCGGAGGATATGTTACTTAGTCTCACTCTGACTGATCCGCTATCTTCACCCAAGAAGACGATGACTTCGTGTCTGGCTGACCCATCTACCTCATATGCGGCTGTCGCTGGACAACGAACGGCGGAGAAAAAGCCTAGTACAGAGATGGCATCAACCTCTTCTGGAAAAGAAAACTCCAAGGTTCGTAATCAGAGACAGCGGAAGCCATATGACAGAACGACCAAGGCAGCTGCTGACAAAGACCTTCAAGTGGCAATCATTGACAAATCTGATCCTCATGGCAGGATTAGTGATAGTCATTGGTTGCTCTTTGAAGGAGTCTTTCGGTTGGCTATCGTCTGTGGGTCGGACCAGGGGAATCAGTCAGTTTGGCAGAGCCTTCGTGCAAAAGGGCGCCAAAGTCATTAACTGTTGCGTATATTTATTTTATATGTGACAGAAGAAGCTACCACGAACATAGTTCCTTTTTTGTTATTCTCCTCAAGCTGCCCTACTTTGTATTATTCATGGCACAATGAATAGGTAGTCCATTTAGCGCAGCTGATGTCTTGATTAACTGTCAAAGTGGGTAATTTTTACTTGAATTCGATGTGCAGTATTGCCAACCATGTTAAATATTATAAGGAAGAATTTTTTTGTTTTGTTTTGATACATCACCTTATTATTGCATCATGGTATTATTGTACCATGATTGCAAGCTCCATGGCACAATGAATAGGTAGTCCATTTAGAGCAGCTGATGTCTCGATTAACTGTCAAAGTGGATAATTTCTGCTTATATTCGATGTGCAGTGTTGCCAACCATGTTAAATATTATATGAAAAAATTTGACAGATAATCGATACAAAAACAAATGTTTTTGTTTTGATACATCACCTTATTATTGCATCATGTCATGCTCATTGTAGCCATCGGCGTTCAATTTTGTGAAGTAACGGCGACGACATCAGTTATTCGATATTCAACCGTTATCGATTACCGTCCTACGATTTATTTATTTGTACTGTAAGTGATGATTTCTTATTGGATTTTTCTTCGTTCCTTCCAACATCATTCGTAAACAATTCGGGTTCTCATACATTTTCGGTTATATCCACTTTGACTTCTTTATCGGACATTTTGTCTTATCCCATTCGTTTGGCAGGTGGAACGTTTTTCAATTTTTTGTTCAGTCGGTGAAAAAGGCCCGAGAAAAGCATTCACGCCTTATGTAATTTTCTTTCCTTTTCCTAACAAATCGGCAAATAGAAAAACAAAAAATACATTAATAAAATGTTTATCGGCGATCTGTGAAAATTCCGGATAATAATCCCTTGGCAATTGTAGATATTTAGCAAATAAAAATAAGACGCCGACGTCGCCGCATCTCAGAAATAGTAGTTGTAAGTAGTGTACAAATATCGATTTGCCCATGGGACGGACGGACGGATAGACAACCAGCCAGCCAGTGTAGAATAAGAACGGCGAACGGCTGAACAAAGACCAAACCAACAAAAACAAGAAGAGAGTGTGATGGATGATTAAGAAACTGAACGGGGAAAAAATAGTTCGGTGACGCCAGTGAGTGAGTGTGTTTGATAGTGTTGCGTGCTAGAGTTTTGCAATTGTCAAATCTAAAGACCAAACGAAAGATAGACACACGGCCTGGCAGTTGGACGACACCCCCCATGTGGTAAAAAATTATACTATTTATAAATACAAAAAATTAGTTATGTGGTAAAAGATACAAAACGACGACGATGATGATAATAATCTTATAAAGAGACAAATCAATTTGCCAATAGACAAGTTTGCCAATATAAATAGAATCCAAGCCATGTGAGATAATTGATCATTGTTCCGACATATAAAGAGTTGTTGTAAATTGATTTTATTGTAATTCGATTTTTCTTTCTTTGTTTAGATAATCCAATAGAACCACAACACAACTGCAACAACAACAACAGCCACAACAATAAACAATCATAATGGTCTCCTCCTCCACGGCCATCATCAGCACATCACAACGAAAAAATGTACGCATATTATTGGTTGGCGATCCCGGAGTTGGCAAAACATCCCTTATCCTATCATTAGTTAGTGAAGAATTTCCCGAAGATGTTCCACCCAAAGCTGAAGAGATTACCATACCGGCAAATGTGACACCCGAACAGGTGCCCACAAACATTGTGGACTATTCACGTAAGTATCTATAAAAAAAATAAAGGGTGTTCTATATTTGGTCATAGTGTGTAAAACCAGTTTCAATTTAGGAAAGCAAACATGCTTCCGATTTCAAATAGGCCATGATAACAAATGATACGAAAGTGTTTACTTTTATTATCAGTGAATGTGAATGTTTAAGCCTCTTAGATAGAAAAACTAAAAATAATTGTTATGATGTTTGGGAATGATTATTGGGAATTTTTTCCCATATCTAGAACTTCTCAGCATGTGATCATAGAATATATTTTTTAATAGCTGTTTTATTTGGCTTCACTTCGTTTTTCTATTTTTTCTAATTACAGACATTGAACAGTCGGATGAAACCCTAAATGAAGAAATCTTAAAATCCCATGTTGTTTGCATTGTCTATGCCGTAGATGATGATGATACCCTAGATCGTATTACCTCCCATTGGCTACCGTTGATACGTAAGGCGGTCGGTGATAATCAGCCCAAGAAACCAGTTGTCTTGGTTGGCAATAAAGTCGATTTGATTGAATACTCGACCATTAATGTAGGTCAAAAGTAATTGTTTTTGTGTTTTGGATTTTGTCAATAATGTGAATTTTATTATTTACAGAGTGTTCTTAGCATAATGGAAGAATTTCCTGAGGTTGAAAGCTGTGTTGAATGTTCCGCAAAGACCTTACATAATATATCGGAAATGTTTTATTATGCACAAAAAGCTGTTTTGCATCCAACATCACCATTGTACATTATGGATGAACAAGATGTAAGTGTCTGAATGTGTGTGAAACCATACAACCAACAACAACAAAATTGAGGTGTGAAATTATGGAAGGCAAATAATTTGATTTGTTACCAAAATCAATGATATTTGGGTTTGAAAATTATTTCAATTCCATTCAAAAGTTCAGTGAGATATGATTATTTACTAGGGCAGATCAGCAGATTAGTCGCGAATCATAAGCGGAATAAATTGTTACAGTATCTGAAGTTTTGCAACATTGTAACCGGTGTGAGTAAAGTGTGTGCAACAGTTCACTTGAACCCTGTAAAGAAGAATGATAGGACCTCAGTCACATTTAACGACGAAAAACTCTCTAACGACTCTATAATAGTCAATGGCCAAGTAGGCAAGGTACACACTTTGAAGATCAACAGATTAGTCGCCGATCATAAGCGGAATAAATGGTTAGAGTATCTGGAGCATTGTAACGGGTGTGAGTAAACTGTGGGTAACTGTTCTCTCGAAACCTGTAACGAAGAGAATGATAGGTCCTCAGACACATTTAACGACGAAAAGCTCTCTATGACAATGCTGGAACATTTGAAGAAGCCGAGCTTAGAATAGATGAATCATACAAAACGATCTCAGAGCGAAGTGTACTTATCGCATAAGTTTATTTCATCACGAGCATCACGCACTGATGCTCGTGATGAAGTAATGAGAGGACCTCGGTCACATTTAACGATGAAAACTCTCTAACGGTTCAATGACAATTCTGGAATATTTGAATAAGCCGGCTTAAGCCAGTTACTAAAACCAGATCTCAGACCGAAGCAAGGCCTCTCGGGCTGATTGTACTCTATGCATGCAAGAGTTTCATTTGGAAAATTTGGGGGCTAAACCATTGACTATACACTGGTTGTATAACACCGTGGTAAGGGCCATCCTCTCCCATGATTCTCTTGTTTGGTGGCACAGCTTGCGTCACAAGTCGACATCCAGCAAACTAGATAAGGTACAAAGAGCGGCCTCGATTCTAATAACAGGAGCCACGAGGATCACGCCACAAGCAGCTCTGAACGCAATGTGCCAGGCCGCGCGTAGTGCCCTAAGACTGCATGAACAAAATCTTTCGCGAAGTTGTACCTTTAGCAATGGTTGTATCTTGAACGAACCAGGTATGACATTGGACCAACGCGTAAAATTAAGCGACTATATATCACCAGTCCTGAGATTTAACGATGTAGATGTCGTTATTCCGAATAGAGACGACTGGAACCGGAGTAACCCTCCTCTGGACGGTCTGGTTTCTGTACAGACGGATCCAAGATGGAAGAAAGTACTGGGGCTGGCGTCTACTGTGAAAGGCTAGGCCTTGAGTTTACCTACAAGCTGGATAGCAACTGTAGTGTTTTCCAAGCTGAAATATTCGTGATTTGGAAGGCAGCGAAATTGATAAAAAATCTGGATGCAGAGATCGTTGAACCGGTGACTATCTTTGTGCATAGTCAGGCGGCTCTTAAAGCCATCAAATCCTGTGTAGAGCAGTTTTGAAAACATTTACCGTTATCGGCTGTGTTGGGTACCAGGACACCGTGACATCATGGGTAATGACTAAACAGACGAATTAGCTAGGCGAGGATCTCAATCTGCAGATCTAGCAATTGATGGCTTAATCAAACCACCCCTATGCCATCTTTATCGGAACTTTGAGGCGTTCTTCGATGACTTTGGCAAAAGATCCTAGGTGCACTGTGTCAAGCTCTATTTGGCCGACTATGTCTACCAAAAGGACACACACACCGTTGAACCTGAGCAAAGCTGAAATTAGAGTAATGACAGAAGTTCTTATTGGTCATTGCAACATCTGGGCCTTTACCAAAAAATGGGACCATGATGTTACTGATTACTTCAGACTTTGACGTGCTGACGAGGAGGAGACAAAGAAAATTGAGCATCTCATGTGTCCCTGTCCAGTTTTGGCCTACAGACGGAACAGACTAGTGGGTGCTCTTTTTCCACCGTCTCTAAGCTTCTACTCAACTATGGAACCTGCTTTTATCTACAACATCATTACAAACCTAAAGTGGTTAGGAAAGTGCAACCTAAGCACGTAATATGTTTTTCTGTTCAATTTATTTAGCCATCGAAACTATTCTCACCTTCCGCCTAATACTTCTTGTTAGCTTTATATTCTTTCTTTGTAAATCCACATTATCTAAATGAGCATCGAGAATGTGAGTAGGAATGCTCGACCATCAGACCAACTGTTAGATAAATCATTTAATTTCACACCCTTGGGTTCGGTAAATTAACAGGTCTCTTTAACAAATTTTGGCCATTCCCAGGATAGCTTGGGTTTATCCTCGACAATATCATCACTGGAAATGTTGACCAATTTGACAGAACTTTATTCAAATATTGTTGATGTGGTCGGGTTCGGGTTTCTGAAAAATAAATTAAAAAACAATCGATTAGAGATTAAAAATCGTAATTTTTATAGAGACTGCACACAAGACGTAGATTTTTCTGAAGAAACCTAACAACTAGAATGTCAGTAGGTGTTTTATGGGTGTTCGTTTATAATCAAATAATTCTGTGCTACAAATACGAATAGCGTCACATCACTACCTGTTTCGTTTATGTCCGTGCTACAAATATCTACAGCGTCATAAAGCGGCGTTTTCCTGAACTATTATGTATTTTACCATTTTGTGGTTCGTGTCTGTGCTATAAATACGAACAGCGACATATCGCGTCAATTGTCTGAACTAATATGCTCGATTTAATTCGATTTTCAACAAACTCCCATAAACCCCCTACTCACGACATTCTAGTTGCTACGTTTCTGTGCCAACTGTTAGAGAATTCATTTAATTTCACACACTTGAGTTCGGTAAATTGGATTTTTCGACACCATTACTCTTTATCAAATTTTGACCACTGAATTCAAAGGCAATATAGCCACATGAGACCAAATATTAACTTGGGATTACCATCGCAAATATTATCAATGGAAATGCTGACCAATTTGACCAACCATGTTACTGTATCATCTGCAGGACCTTGTTCGAATACGTTCAGCGTCATAAAGCGGTGTTTTCCTGAACTAATATTTAATTTACCGTTTGTGGTTCGTGTCTGTGCTATAAAAAAACGAACAGCGACATATCGCTTCATTTGTCTGAACTAATTTGTAATTTAAATTGATTTTCAACAAACTCCCATAAACCCCCTACTGACGATATTCTTGTTGCTACGTTTCTTTTGAAAGGGTTTATTAAAAAATCTGCGCCTTGTACAGCCTCCTAAAAAAGTATTTTTAAAAACTACGGAGGGTATAAAAAATTACCACTATATGCCTATAGTTTATTTGAATAATTTGGAAGTCCATTGTTATTTTTCCTCTCTCTCTCTTTGTTTTCATACTTGGTCACATCTCGATTTGGAATTATTTCGATTTAAAGTTTTATTTATTTTTTTAAATATATTGAATTTTGAATACCTCTTCCTTACAGCTTACGCCAGCATGCAAGAAATCACTGGTACGCATATTTAAAATATGTGATATCGATGGTGATAATCTTCTAAACGACTACGAGTTGAATTTGTTTCAAAGGCGCTGTTTCAACACTCCACTACAACCACAAATTCTGGATGAAGTTAAATCGGTTATACAGAAAAATATACCCGATGGTATCTATAATGATTCGGTTACTTTAAAGGGTTTCCTATTCCTGCATTGCCTATTCATACAACGTGGACGAAATGAAACAACATGGGCTGTACTGAGGCGTTTCGGTTACAATGAACAGCTGGAGATGAGTAAAGACTATTTAAAACCTCCACTAAAAATACCACCTGGTAGTAGTACGGAATTATCGCATAGGGGTCAACAATTTTTGACAGCCCTATTTGAACGTTACGATAAGGATTGTGATGGTGCTCTATCGCCCGAGGAGCATAAAATGCTGTTCAGCACCTGCCCCCAGGCACCATGGTCCTACTCAACGGATATACGTAAATCGTGTACGGTAAATGAAAAAGGATGGGTCACCCTAAACGGCTGGATAAGTCGTTGGGCCCTAATGACTTTGGTCGATGTCAACAAGACAATGGAATATTTGGCCTATATGGGATTTAATGTCCACGAAAATGATACTCAACTGGCAGCTATACATGTGACACGGGAGCGTCGTATCGATTTGGCCAAACGTCAAAGTAGCCGCTCGGTATATATGTGTCATGTTATTGGACCAAAGGGTTCGGGGAAGACGGGCATGTGTCGTGGTTTTCTTCTGAATGATGATACCAAGTCGCTGATTGGCAAAGAGTTTAAAACGAATGTGACACATTGTGTCAATACGGTGCAGGTAGGTTACAATTTATTTTTTTCAAATATTTTAAAATTAAAATTTGTTTTTCTTATCTCTCTTTTCAGGTCTATGGCCAAGAGAAACACTTAATTTTACGCGACATTGATGTCAAACATGCCCTTGACCCGCTGCAACCGCAAGAAATCAATTGTGATGTAGCCTGTTTGGTATACGATTCCTCAAATCCTCGTTCATTTGAATATATTGCACGCATTTACATTAAATACTATGCCGAAAGTAAAATCCCCGTCATGATAGTTGGCAGCAAATGTGATATGGATGAACGTCGCCAGGATTATCTGCTGCAGCCAGATGAATTTTGTCAAAAATACAAACTATTGCCACCACATCGTTTCAGTCTGAAGAATAACAAAAAGGAATTATATGTAAAATTGGCAACCATGGCGGCATTCCCGTAAGTATTTATTTTTTTTGCGAAATATTTCTATTGCCATTTGTCTGAAATGTCTGAAACAAAAACAAAAACATTACCATTTCATTATTCTTTCCCTTTCTTGTTTTTTTCTTTGGTATCTGTTGTGTTTGCTGAAGTTATTTGTCTTTTGAAATGTTAGCAAATTTCGAAACAACCTAATTGGAATGAAAGAAACTAACAATAATGGTTATGAATGCGTTTTGGCCTATTAATATTTTTTTTGGAATTGATTATCATCACATGAATTTGAAACAACTTTGAACTAAATGCATTTCAAACTTTAATCCAATATGCCTCCCATATTGCTTTGGGCATATTATGCTTAATTAGATTAGCACATCATTTAGACAATATGATAAAGGAAATTGCAAATAGATTTTGAACATGGTTATATCATTCATTTATGAAGTAAATAGAAATAGGGCCGCCTAATCCAAACAAAAACACAAAAGTAGCTTCCTATAATGGAAAATTTGTAATATCACTCATGCTTATTTTTATTCATTACACATTCAATCGTTTAACTAAAGATGGAAGGAGGGATGTCTTAATTTAGAGAATACTGTATATGGTTATGATTCATCTACCAGAGATTCTGAATATCATTGCATAAATTGTAGTTCAACCTTTGGATACAAAAATACTTTTTTTAAAGAATGTTTTTTCGAGTACCAATAAAGCGTAGATTTAAAAAATATATATTTTTTCGAGTATCAACAGGGGGTAGATTTCTTTCGAATACCAACAATGCTTCGATTTTTTAAACCATATTTTTTCGAGGCGTTGATCTTTTAAAAAATATATTTTTTGAGTACCATAAAAATAAATTAAAAAAAACAATCGATTAAGGATTAAAAATCGTGGTGATGGAAATTAGGTGTAAGATTTTTGAAGCGCACAAGGCGTAGTTTTTTTTCTTTTAAGAAACCTAACAACTAGATGGGTATTCATTTAAAATCAAATAATTCTATGCTACAAATACAAAGAGCGCCATAAAGCGGCGTTTTCCTGAACTAATATGTAATTTACCCATTTGTGGTTCGTATCTGTGGTATAAATACGAACAGCGACATATCGCGTCAATGATGTCTGAACTAATATGCAATTTAATTAGATTTTCAACAAACTCCCCTAAAGCCCCTACTACAACATTCTAGTTGCAACGTTTCTTCTGAAAAGGACCATTAAAAAATCCGCACCTTGTAGAGTATTTAAAACCAATCCTTTTGCAGCTTCTTTCGAATTTTTTTTTTCGAGGAAGCCAGTGAAGCGTTGATCTTTTAAAAATATATATTTTTTCGAGGCGTAGATATTTTTAACGAGTACATGTAATGCGTGGAGTTTTTAAAGAATATTTTTTCAATGCGTAGATTTTTTAAAAAATATTTTTTCGAGGCGTAGATTTTTTAAGAATATTTTTTTGAGTACAAAAAGGGGTAGATTTTTTTAAGAATATTTTTTTGAGTACAAAAAGGCTTAGATTTTTTTAAGAATATTTTTTTTAATGCCAAAAGGCGTAGATTTTTTTAAGAATAAGCGTAAAGGCGCAGATTTAATTTTTTTCAAGGCATAGATTAAAAAAAAAATTGCGAGGCGTAGATTTGGTTACTTTAAAGGGTTTCCTATTCCTGCATTGTCTGTACTGAGGCGTTTCGGTTACAATGAACAACTGGAGATGAGTAAAGACTATTTAAAACCTCCACTAAAAATACCACCTGGTAGTAGTACGGAATTATCGCATAGGGGTCAACAATTTTTGACAGCCCTATTTGAACGTTACGATAAGGATTGTGATGGTGCTCTATCGCCCGAGGAGCATAAAATGCTGTTCAGCACCTGCCCCCAGGCACCATGGTCCTACTCAACGGATATACGTAAATCGTGTACGGTAAATGAAAAAGGATGGGTCACCCTAAACGGCTGGATAAGTCGTTGGGCCTTAATGACTTTGGTCGATGTCAAGAAGACAATGGAATATTTGGCCTATATGGGATTTAATGTCCACGAAAATGATACTTAACTGGCTGCTATACATGTGACACGGGAGCGTCGTATCGATTTGGCGAAACGCCAAAGTAGCCGCTCGGTATATAAGTGTCATGTTATTGGCGTAGATTATTTAAAACACATTTTTTTCGACTAACGTTATGCCTATTTTTTTTAAAAAATATTTTTTTGAGGCGTAAATTTTTAAAAAAATATTTTTTAGAGGCATAGATTTTTTAAAAAATATTTTTTAAGGCGTAGATTTTTATTTATTTATTTTTTTTTTTGTTTTGAGGCGTAGATTATTTAACAAACATTTTTTCGACGCGTAGATTTAAAAAAAAAATTTTTTTTGAGGCGTAGATTTAAAAAAAAAATGTTGAGGCGTAGATTTTTTAAAAAAATCTTTTTTTTTTATTTAATTTTTTTGTTTTGAGGCGTAGATTTATTTTTTTTTGTTTTGAGATTTAAAACATTTTTTAAGGCGTAGATTTTTAATTTTTTGTTTTGAGGCGTAGATTTTTTAAACAATTTTTTTCGAGGCGTAGATTTTTTAAAAAATCTTTTCGAGGCGTAGATTTTTTAAAGAATATTTTTTCGTGGCGTACATTTTTTAAAAAATATATTTTCGAGGCGTAGATTTTTAAAGAAAATATTTTCGATGCTTAAATTTTTTAAAGAAATTTTTTTTGATGCCTACATTTTTTAAAGCAAATTTTTTCGATGCCTAAATTTTTTAAAGAAAAAAATTTTGATGCCCAAGTTTTTTAAAAGAAAATTTTTTCGATGCCAAAATTTTTTAAAGAAATTTTTTTTCGATTTTTTCGATGCCTAATTTTTTTTAAAGAATTTTTTTTCGAGATTTTATTTTTCGAGTACCTACAAAGCGTAAATTTTTTAAAGAATATTTTTCGAGGCTTAGATTTCTTAAAGAATATTTTGTTGAGGCGTACATAGTTAAAAGATTTTTTTCGGTTATCTACAAGGCGTAGATTTTTTAAACAACATTTTTCTAAGTACAGTATAAACTTGATAATCCGAACCTCGACAATCCGGATTATTCGGTAATCCGGACTGCATTTCACAACCCATTGCGTATCCTATAATCCGGATTGATTGACCTATTTGACTCAAAAATCCGGATTGTAAAGATACGTTACTTTTTATTTTAATAAAAAAATCGTTGCAAATTTAATTGAAAATGGTACCTATTATATTCAAAGTTCATATTTTTGAAATGAATAATTTTCATTTTTAATAAAAGCATAAAAATAATTAAATTATCACCAAATTAATATAAATTTAAACCAATTAATAAAACTCGATAATCCGGAAATCTCGGTAATCCGGATTGGGGTCTGCAATCAATTATCCGGATTAGCGAGTTTTTACTGTACCTATAAGCCAACAGCAGCTATTCAGCCAAAATGTTTATAGTTGGACTACACATCGATTTCGTATTAAATATTTATAGTGTGGATACAATTTTTCATAATAAAATCCTGTTGTCCAAAAATAAAACATCACTCTGTCTGAAATTATATATCGGAAAAAAATTTATATTGGCATTGGCATCATCGACAGTTCAAAAAAATACATTTTCATTTTTGAATTGTATTATTCTTTTTGAAGACAACAAACAATTTTGGAATGCATTGCAATTTATTTATTTTTTCTATTCTGTGTGTATTTAAATTTTAGAATTATAAACAAATTCTTTTATTTCAAAAAAGGATTATAATCAGCTACTATAAATATATATTTTTTCTATATCAAACTAAATTCAATTACTATATACAATTCTTGTTTTTTATTTAGTTTACTTTTCAAAAATATCCCTTGGACTTGTTTGAAACACGATTATAATCCAAAACGAAATATATATTTTTCTTTAAATATAAAATATACATTTTAGTAATAATCTATATTTTATTCTCTTTTTTCAAATTTTTTTCTCTCTAAATATATATACAAAAAAAAACAAAAAAAAAAAAACATTTATGGTGGTGTTTTTTGAAACAAAATGTCATATATAAACAAAAAATGGTTACTGGTGTGCATTCTAAAAAAAAAACTAAAACAAAATAATTGTCTATTTTTTGTGTGTGTGTGAAAAAACACCCCGGGGTGGCGTGTCTAAAAAACCAAACCCATATTTAAATGAAATACATTCAAAAATTAAAGACGCTTTCAAGCCGCATGGATATTATTTTACAAGCACAGGTTGGTACAGCTGTGGGAATCGGCGTAAGTTTTAATTGATCTCTACTAATCTCTCTCTATGTTCTTAATTAATAAGCAAATATCAATGTTTTCTTTTATTTTCTTCGATATATAAATATTTAAATAAATGTTGTGTGTGTGTGTGCGTGCGAGTCTTAACATAAAATCACCATCAAGCTAAGAAAAACTAAAACACCAACGCTACCTCCACTCCACCTACAATTCATCCACACCAACTATCTATTGCTAAACTATTGCCAATATTGAAAAGAGAAAAATAACCTGGCAAATAGTTTGCTGGAGCACTTACCACTTATCTTCAATCTCCGCTATTATTAGCTTTTATAATTTACATCAATCATTCACCAGTTGTGCTAATATTTTCAATTATTTATTTTTTTGTAAATATATATTTTTTTATTATTATTTTGAATTTTTTGTTGTAGTAAATAAATTATAATAACCATAAAATGTTCTAATGTTTTTTTTTTTTAATTTTATATTTTTGTATTTATGTATATATATTGTGATTATTAAAATAACTACACCACTTTGTTGTATTCTATAAAGATTGAAAAACAACTTTATAATAGCAATATAAAGATATTTTTTGAGTACCAATACTGTGTCGATTTTTTAAGAATATTTTTTTCCACTACCAATAAGGCTTAGATTTTTTAAAGAATATTTTTTGGAGTGCCCATAAGGCGAAGATTCTTTAAAGAATATTTTTCCGAGTTCCAATAAGGCGTAGATTTTTTAAAGAATATTTTTTTGGAGTGTCCATAAGGCGTAGATTTTTTAAAGAATATTTTTTTGGAGTGTCCATAAGGCGTAGATTTTTTAAAGAATATTTTTTTGGAGTGTCCATAAGGCGTAGATTTTTTAAAGAATATATTTTGGAGTGTCTATAAGGCGTAGATTTTTTAAAGAATATTTTTTTGGAGTGTCCATAAGGCGTACATTTTTTACAGAATATTTTTTTGGAGTGTCCATAAGGCGTACATTTTTTAAAGAATATTTTTTTGGAGTGTCCATAAGGCGTAGATTTTTTAAAGAATATTTTTTTGGAGTGTCCATAAGGCGTACATTTTTTAAAGAATATTTTTTTGGAGTGTCCATAAGGCGTATTTTTTTAAAGAATATTTTTTTTGAGTGTCCATAAGGCATAGATTTTTTAAAGAATATTTTTTTGGAGTGTCCATAAGGCGTATTTTTTTAAAGAATATTTTTTTTGGAGTGTCCATAAGGCGTATTTTTTTAAAGAATATTTTTTTGGAGTGTCCATAAGGCGTAGATTTTTTAAAGAATATTTTTTGGAGTGTCCATAAGGCGTAGATTTTTTAAAGAATATTTTTTTGGAGTGTCCATAAGGCGTAGATTTTTTAAAGAATATTTTTTTGGAATGTCCATAAGGCGTAGATTTTTTAAAGAATATTTTTTTGGAGTGTCCATAAGGCGTAGATTTTTTAAAGAATATTTTTTTGGAGTGTCCATAAGGCGTAGATTTTTTAAAGAATATTTTTTTGGAGTGTCCATAAGGCGTAGATTTTTTAAAGAATATTTGTTTGGAGTGTCCATAAGGCGTAGATTTTTTAGAAACTACTTTTTTGAGGCGCAGGTTTTTTAAAAACTACTTTTTTGAGGCGCAGGTTTTTTAAAAACTACTTTTTTGAGGCGCAGGTTTTTTAGAAACTACTTTTTTGAGGCGCAGGTTTTTTAAAGAATATTTTTTTTTTGAGTGTCCATAAGGCGTAGATTTTTTAAAAAATACTTTTTTAAGGCGTAGGTTTTTTAAAAAATATTTTTTCGAGGAGTATATTTTTTAAACAAATATTTTTTGAGGCATAGATTTTTTAAAAAGATATTTTTTGAGGCGTCGATTTTTTAAAAAAATGTTTTTTCAAGGCGTCCATTTTTTAAAAAATGTTTTTTCGAGGCGTATATTTTTTAAAAAATATTTTTTGAGGCATAGATTTTTTAAAAAATAGTTTTTCGAGGTGTAGATTTTTTAAAAAGAAAATTTTGAGGCATAGATTTTAAAAAATATATTTTTCGCGGCGAAGATTTTTTAAAAAAAATTTTCGCGGCGTAGATTTTTTAAAAAATGTATTTGAAAGGCGTAGATTTTTGAAAAAATATTTTTTTGATGCGTAGATTTTTTAAAAAAAAATTTTTTTTAAAGGCATAGATTTTTAAATTTTTAAAAAATATTTTTTCAAGGCGTAGATTTTTAAAAAAATAATTTTCCAAGGCATAGATTTTTTAAAAAAAAATATTTTTTCGCGGTGTAGTCTTTTTAAAAAATATTTTTTCGTAGCGTAGATTTTTTAAAAAAATTTTTGAAAAGCGTAGATTTAAAAATTTTTTTTTTTCAAGGCATCGATTTTCGAAAAAAAAAATTTTTTCGCGGCGTAGATTTTTTAAAAAATATTTTTTTGTGATTTGGTTTTTTTTAAAGTATTTTTTCGAGGCTTAGATTTTTTTAAGGCTATTTTTTCGATGCGTAGATTTCTTAAAAAAGCAGTAAGGCTTAGATTACTTGAAAAAAACAGTAAGGCTTAGATTTCTTGAAAAAAACTTTAAGGCGTAGATATTAAAAAGAATATTTTTTTCGAGGCGTATATTTTTTAAAGAAAAAGTTTGTTTTGTGCGTTGATTTTTTAAAGAATATTTTTTTGAGGCTTAGATTAAAATAAATTAAAAGAAAAAAATTGTTTAGTGCGTCGATTTTTTTAAAAATTTTTTTTCGAGGCTTAGATTTTTAAAAAAATATTTTTTCGAGGCATACATATTTTAACGAAATTTTTTTTCGAGGCGTAAATTTTTGAAAAAAAGGTTTTTAGGGGCAAAGATTTTTTAAAAAATATTTTTCGGTGCATAGATTAAAAAAAAATTAAATATATGTTAGGCATTGAATTCGCTCCCAATTTCATAACAAAGTGGTTTAGGCATTATTACTATTTACTTTTGCCAGATATGACCATTTTTTTATTTAAATAACAGTTTTATTTTTTATTTGTTTTCCCTCATTATTTTAATTTTTCACATTTTTTTTATAATAATAAATAAACTAAAAAGATATTTTCAATTGTTCCACAATTTACTACTTAATAATTTAATATTAATATATCACTTCTCCTCCCGTTCTTCTCATTATCTACAGTCATTTACGTCAATTTGGTCTTATGACAGAGGATCCGACATTATGGTGGAAAGCTGGTTTGGGTGTAGCTGCTGCCACAGTTTTGGGTTTTGTGGTCTTAAAGGCTGTACATGGCCTAACAACACCAACACGTTAAAGAAAGAAAGAAAAAACCAAGAGCAAACACAACAACAAAATACACAAATCCAGCCAGGCCCTGATACAGCAGCAGCGGACACAAGTGGACCAACATTTTTTTGTGTGTTTTCTTTAAGAATCCCATAACCACGTTGTGTTTGTTGTTGTTTGTGCATGTGTTGTATGTATATAGGAATTATTAATATTTAAAATCTTATAAGAACCAGAAGAAAAAAATTTGGAAATCACAACCAATTATTTTTTTAGTTTATAAACTCAAGGATCAAGCAATGTTTATTATACAAAAAAACTAAAGAAAAAGATAAAAAAACAAATCAAGACGACGACGTTTCCATTTAAGCAGTGCGGAAATGGATAAAATAGTGGATTGCTACAATCCTTAAAATCACTACCCAAAAAAATTGGTTTTATTTTTGTAATACACCAAACAAAACAAAAAAAAATCACAAAATTCACAATGAGAGAGTAATAAGAAAATCATTACATATATATATTTTTATATTATCAAAACTAACAAGATAATTCTCTATTAAATTCTAAAGAATGAAAAGAAAAGAAAAAAAAACTACACATACATATTCTGCTGTATATAAATATCTATATGATTTTCTTTTTGAAAAAATAAAGAACTCTATAGCTTCCTTTCTAATATCAAAAATTAGATATATTTTAAATGTCACCAAATCTATACACAAAAAATATATATATTCAAAATTTATTTTATGTAACTAACTAACATTTCTGCTAACACATAGTGTTTTTTATTAATTTAAATTTTATTATTTAAAATTTTCTTTTAGTATTTTTCATTATAATTTATGACATATGTAGTCTTTTCTTGAATTTTACTTGAAAAAAAACCAAAACAAATTTATATCATACCACCAAATCATTTCATTTATATGATATTTCTCTGGCAAAAATATTGTATAATTAATTAACTTTAGCAAAGTACTACAAAAAATAAAATGAAACCATTTACAAAACAAACAAACAAAAATACCAATGATGATAATGATGATGTATTTAGTTTTAAAACAATTATGTTTATTATTGTATAGTTAATAAAAACCAACAAACAAACAAACCACAACAACAAAAATTGAAAACATATATAAATTCTGAAGATAATAATTATTTAAATTAATGGCTTTTAATTTTGTGGGGGGGAGAGGAATTAAACAAATGTGGAAAGATTTTTTAAAGACTATAAGGGGAGACTATAAGATTTTTTTTTGTAGTGCCCATATGGCGGAGATTTTAGAAAGAATTTTTTGGAGTGCCCAAAAAGCGCATAATATTTTTTTAGAATACCCATAAGCCGTAGATTTTTGAAGAATGTTTTTTCTGAGTACGAATAAGGAATATATGTTTTAAAGAATGCCTTTTTCGAGTGTCGCATAAGGCGTAGATTTTTTGAAGAATGTTTTTTCGAGTGCCCATAAGGCGTAGATTTTTAAAGAATATTTTTTTTCGAGTGTCGCATAAGGCGTAGATTTTTAAAGAATATTTTTTTTCGAGTGCCCATAAGGCGTAGATTTTTTTTAAAGAAAATAAATTATTTCGAATATTTTTCGTATTACCAAAAAAGGTGTAGATTTTTTAAATAAAAAAATTATTTCGAATATTTTTTCTATTACCAAAAAAGGTGTAGATTTTTCAAATAAAAAAATATTTCGAATATTTTTTCTATTACCAAAAAAGATGTAGATTTTTAAAGAAATTTGTTGGAATATTTTTCCTATTACCAATAAGGTGTAGATTTTTAAAGAATTATTTTGGAATATTTTCCTATTACCAATAAGGTGTAGATTTTTAAAGAAAATTTTTTGGAGTACCAAAAAGTATTATTTGACGTCTAAAAAGAGGTAAATTTTTTAAAGAATTTTTTTCAAGTTTGAATAAGGCGTAGATTTTGTAAAGAATATTTTTTTGTAGCTTATTTGACGTATTTAAAAAAAAATAGGCTTGTTTTTTAAAGAATTTTTTCGGGTTTATTTCTTTATATTGTTGGTCGACTATAAGGTGTAGATTTTTTTGGGAATATATTTTTCACTGCTAAACATCAATGCATAAATATGGGTTTCTCAGGATACGTTCCATTGGCACTGTCCGACTACTAACCTCTAGAGGGCCACATGTCTTCTTATTTTACACAGTAAACTGTTATAAATGATTTCTATCTAAGATTCTAAAAACCATTTACCGTAAGTATTTCACAATGAATTCCACAATCACTTTACTTTTAAAGATTTCATTTTTTATTGTTATTAATCTTTTGTCTTTGAAAACATTTGTTGTTCTTATGCATCTTGTTTGTGTTTCTTGAGTGTTTTCTATAAAAGTAAGTAGATATAACTTAAATGTTGATTTTGTTTTTATTCATACATAAAGTAGATGAAATTAATTACAAAAAATAAAATACTTTATTTCTTAACTAGGGCAGTGGTGGTTGTTGTAGCTGGCGCCATACAATTACCATCGGGATAACGTTTTTGAAATTGTGTTATAAGTTCAGGATCAACTAAACGTATACCATCTAGCTGATTGCCTAATGTTATCCAATTCGGTTGGACATTATGCGGCCGACCGAATAATTCAATTTTACGCGAGCCGGGACTTAGACGTTCGATGATGCCATAAATTTCATCGGGTTTGTGGGATGTGGCACGAACCTCGGCCACAATGACATCTGTAAAAGGAAAGTGAAAATTTTGTTTTTATTTTTGTCTACCAGAGAAGTGGAATAGTTAGTGTTAACCTCCATCTAAGCCTCGATTGAGATTTTTAGGATTTCCTTTCATGCCCACAAGACAATGTTCTTTGCCGTGATTAAGCCAATGTCCTGTACGACCGGTACGTATGATACGTTGCAATTGATTGGTTTTAACCCAAATAAGTTCATCAACACGCTCATAGCTGTACAAAGAAGTATTTTTTAATTATATAAAAAGAATTATATTATATCTACTTACCCCCACAGCGTAAGACATTCCCGTCCCAATTCCATGGCACGTCCAGTGACCCAAAGAAATATAAGACCATCATCTTGTAAAGCCGGTACTCCCAACTGTCTCATTTCGTCATCAGACATTGTACCTATAATCAAAACAATATTTTTTAACATATCGAAATTTTTAATTCTATAAACAAACCCTCTTACCATAAGGCAACTCCATGTGAATATCCCATGGTGGATCAGCCATGACAACAGCAAATTTACCCAATACTGTCATATCCAAGTAGCGCAAATCACATTGAATCCATTGTGGCGGATAGAGCGTGACATTTGGATCAACACTACGTTTAATACAACGATTTGTCTTTACATCAACCGGTTTATTTGTATTAATATTTGGCAATGTATCGACCTCATAGTGAACATATTTACATGTTGCCATGTGGAAGCAAGTGTTTAGGAAACTACAATCACCCAACGATTCATCAGTATGGGATTGTATGATTTTTTTGAAATGCAATTTTGTACATTTACTTGTCGTCTCAGTGCTGCAAGCATCTTCGGTATTATCTTCTTCCGCTGTGCCCTCATCCTCCTCGCCGCCATCCTCTTCATCGGGTTCTTTATTTGTATCCGTAATAATTTCACCATCTTCGGCGCCAGAATCTTCACAAGTTTTTTCCGTTTTATTCGCGTCTTGTCTATCATCGGTGGTTTCGTTTGGTTTCATACGTTTCGCAGCACTTTCTTCATTGCCATTGGCGTTGCTGCTATCAGTTGCGGATTTATTTTCATCTACGGCAGCCGCTACGGGTCTTTTTTGTTTTGCCAATTTAAGTTTTTGTTTTTGCAATTGTTGTTCTTTTTTCTTTTTAGCCTCTAATTCGGCAGTGGCTTGTTGGGCTTTTAGGCATTCCACCTTAGTGCCATGTGGACAAAATTCCATTACTTGGGCACCACCATGTGATTTGAATTTTTCTGCAACGGAACGTTCTTTGGCAGTGGGTTTTGTCAACAGTTCAAGAATTTCTTCACCAACTTGTTTGCTTTGTTTTTCACGTGTGGAAGGCATGGAGAGGAGAGACTAAGAAAAATAAATACTATTAAATGGATTACTGTCCATTACTGGAATATTTACCATAATATCATCAGAATCAGCATTATTGGAGGTCTCCTTTCGTTCCGAGCTCTCTTCACTGTCATCGGGTTTGTCATTGCTAATGCTGTCTTCCAATAAACCTTCTTCTTCATCAACTGCAAGACAGAAACCATATTACCATATTCTTCTGCCACATTTTTTATAAATATGAATGTATGTACTCACATAATATTTTATATTTCCTTCGTATCTCTTCAGTTAAATCATAATTATCATTGATAAATGCCTTATAAATATCCAATAAAACTTTTGTCTCCACGGATATAACTTCACAACCCACTTCGCCACCAATTGTAACCCGTTTAATACAAATTGCTCCCTGCTTGGCCATTTTATTGAGAATATAATTCACACTGTCCTTTCCGACGGGTGTTTTGGTTATTGCCGCCACCTTCTGCAGTAGTTGTGTGGATATTATGGGCAATATCAGCGTCTCAGAACTTAAGATTTCCATTAGGGCCTGCTCAACAGCCGTATCGGATTCTAAATAAAATTTATTTTATTTTCAAATATTTTTGTATAAAAATTTGTGTTCTATCATACCATTTTCACTCTTTCCCACCAATGAAACGTTCTTAACATCATCCTCATTGGTATCCTCTTGTTTTGTTGACGGCGAGCCGGTAGACGCCAAAATGCCATGGCGTTCCTTTTTACGTTTCTCTAGCTTTTCGCGTAGATTATTTCGTTTATTTTTCAACGCCTTAATGTCATCCCAGGCATCCGTCATTATATTACGGTGGTATTTTATAATTTAAAGAATTATTTATCAATAATTTAACACTTTTCAATTAATTTTCTTAGAAATTGTCCACACAACGCCACATAAATGCCCTACAAACTCTCTCGCACACAGCTGGGAGCAAATTGGCATTCACTGTGAATTGATAACAACACAATCATATGCAACTGTTGATGCATACTAAATTGCGAGTGTATTCGACACCTTTTTAATCATGGAAAACACATTCATTTCTAAATATTATATTAAACCTGTTTTTCGACTTTATTAATTATTACAAATGTTTAATGTTTATCGTTTTTAACTATTTGCATTCTTAAAATAATGAACTGTTAACACTCCCACCCCTGTAATCAAAACATATGAGTAAAAAGTAACAAGTAACTAGTTCACATTTTTCGCTTTAAAGAATAGCTTAGTTGAACTAATTCTTTTGGAAGAATACAGTTCTTGTTTTTTGCGTAGTTTTTTTAATATACGCTTAATTAAATAAAAATAATTAAGAAATCAGCTAACTAATTAAAATTTACATTCTGCGTTGTCAATTTGTAATTTAAGGGGAATGGCGACAAGGAAGAAACAAGGAAAAGAAATGAAATTAAGGTGAAACAAAATATTGCAATATGTGATCCATCTTATCGGCTGCAACAGCTGTTTTTCAACCTTTTACCCCTTCCCATTCGTAAACATAATGTATTTTCATGTCGTTTGCTTTTTCCCACCATTCATAACATGATTTCAATTCATTGATTAACCATCACATACTGTTTGTAACAACGTTAGTTCGTTGGCTCATTTCAGTGAACAGTGCAATTGAACTGACTTGTTCCTCTTGTCAGTGGAATTCAGCAAGGAAGGCAGTTGGACCAAAGAGTATTCATAAAATTAATACAAATAAAATAAATTATCACAATGTTTGGTTGGAATATCAGAGATTATGATATTAAACTAGAATTATCACGTTGTTCCAATGGAGTGGTGTACATGGCCAAATATTTACCCAATCAACAGTATGTGACCGTGAAAAAATATCACCTGGATCGGAATGATAAACAAATAACTGATAGCATACAGGACGACATCATGGCCATGCGGCTATTTAGCCATCCGAATTTACATAAGTTCCATACAGCATTTGTTAATGACAGTGATTTGTTTGTGGTCTCACCGCTAATGTGCTTTGGAAGTTGTCGTGATTCTATTAGGAATATTTTTACAACCGGTAAGTAAAGAAGATAATCAAATTTATTTTTTACAAAGAGTATAAATTCCTTGATTTGTTTTCCAGGATTTCCCGAAATCTTCATTGCCCTTATAATGCGTGATGTCTTATCCGGCCTGGAGTATTTACATCGTCGCGGTTATGTTCATCGTTCCATTCGTGCTAGTCATATACTCTTAAATCAAACCAAAGCAGTATTAACAGGATTCCGCGATTGTACTAGTTTTATATCACACGGTGGACGTGTTACAGTTCTACATCAACTACCTCCGAATAGTATACGTAGCCTAAATTGGTTAGCACCTGAAGTTTTGGAACAAAATCTAATTGGTTATACGGAAAAATCGGATATTTATTCCATTGGTATTACATGTTGTGAATTAGCTAACGGGGTGGAGCCATTCGCTGATTCTCCACCAACGTTTATGTTCACCGAAAAGATACGTGGTAATGTGCCCACGTTATTGGATCGTTCCACATGTCCTGGGGTGGATGAAATGATTGGTGAGTGGGCAATTTTAAATTAAAAATATTTAAGCATATTGTATGATTTTTCGTAGACTTTTTTCAACGATTTTTTTTATAAAAATATAGAAAAAATTTCGACGATTTTTTTCTATAAAAATATAGAAAAAAATTCGACGATTTTTTTTCTATAAAAATATTGAAAAATTCGACGATTTTTTTCTATAAATATATAGAAAAAATTTCGTCGATTTTTTTCTATAAATATATAGAAACAATTTCGTCGATTTTTTTCTATAAATATATAGAAAAAATTTCGTCGGTTCTTTTTTTTAAATATATAGAAAAAATTTCGTCTAATTTTTTTCTATAAAAATATTGAAAAAATTTCGTCGATTTTTTTCAATTAAAACATAGAACAAATTTCCTCGAATTTTTCTCTATAAAAATTTGTTGATTTTTTTCTATATTTATTTTTTTTTCTTTAAGAAATAATTGCCACTGCCAATAAAACTGATACCACAGTTGCTGCCGAAACCCAACAAATCTATTTACAACGAATGTTCAGCGACGAATTCCATCAATTTACGGAGATTTGCATGGAAAAGAAACCGGCCAATCGTTGGTCGGCCCTCAAGCTCCTATCCCATTCATTCTTTAAACAATGTCGCCACAGCAGTATTTTGGATGTGACACAGCGTTTTGGAATGCAAGTATCCGACTATGAAGAATTGAGAGGTAAATCAAAAAATTAAATTCCATAATTTGTAATTGTTATTAATGTTTATAATTTATTTTTTATTTATAAAAAACAGATGAAAGTTTGCAGTTAAACCAGGAATTGAATGACTTAAATTTAAATGACAATAATACTTGGGATTGGGAATTTGATTGAATAGAATAGAAACAAATTGTAATATTGGAAATTAAACAAAAAGAAAACTCTCCATAGTGGATATGTAATAACCACGAGAGAGAATTATAGAAAACAAAAATTATGGCATGTCTGTAACTTGTGTGTGGTTAATCAAAATTAAATTGTAAGTAAATATTTTGTTAGTTAAAAATTGAAAATAAAATATATATTTAAGTTTGTATATTTGTTGGTTTAAATATCCTTAAAACAAAACACAAATTATTGGAAAAAAATTAATTAATTTAGGGAATATGGGTTTTTATAAATGCAGTTTTGTTTTTGTTTTTTTAATAAACTATAGGCAATTGAATACTTTTTTAAGATACTTTTTTGAGTTAACTACAAAAATGTTTTTAATTTAAAAGGTTGGTTTTTTTTAGAAAATTTGCTGGAATAATAACTCAATTAAATTAAATAATTTATGTAAAAAATCTACATTTATGTATAAAAAATTGGTATGTTGTAGTTTTTTTTTTTTTGTTATTTAAAGTACATATGTGATATAGTGTATTTTTTGGCAGCCATGCTCCCTCCTCCTTTTCAAGACTTCTAACCATTCATGACCAAACGTACAAATTCCTCATAATTTACATTGCCCTGGGAATCTTCTTGATTGGCCAACAGCTGTTCCACCTCTTCATCGGTTAGTTTCTCACCCAATGTTGTAAGTAGATGTCTTAATTCGGCACATGAAATGAAACCACTGGCATCTTTGTCGAAATGACGCAAACCTTCAATGAAATCATCTGCGGTATCACCAGAACGGGCCTTTGAAATGGCCTGATAAATGGGTAGGAAGACTTCAAAGGAAATGCGCTCATCAGGTTTTAACTGGTGGGTGCATTTTTTCACATCCGATTCAGTGGGATTTTGGCCCAAGGCACGCAAACATTCACCAACCTGGCTGACATGGATTTTGCCATCACCACGATTATCAAACAAGTTGAAGGCTTCTTGGAATTCTGGAAAAACAGAAAGACATACAAAGATTAATATAAATATAGAAAAATATTCGACGAAATATTTTCTATATTTATTATAGAAAAAAAATCGACGAAATTTTTTTTTATACATTTCTATAGAAAAAAATTCGACGAAATTGTGTCTATATATGTATAGAAAAAATTTATGAAATTTTTTCTATATTTTTATAGAAAAAATTCGTCGAAATTTCTATATTTTTATAAAAAAAAATTCGTGGACTTTTTTTAATATTTATTATAGAAAAAATTCGACGAAATTTTTTCTATATATTTCTATAAAAAAAAATCGACGAAATTTTTTCTATGTTTATAGAAACAAACTCGTCGAGATTTTTTCTATATTTTTATAGAAAAAAATTCGTCGAAAATTTTTCCTATATTTTTATAGAAAAAAATTCGACGAAATTTTTTCTATATTTTTATAGAAAAAAATTCGTAAAAATTTTTTCTATATTTTTATAGAAAAAATTCGTTGAGATTTTTTTCTATATATTTATAAAAAAAAATTCGTCGAAATTTTTTCTATATTTCAATAACAAAAAAATATATAAAATTTTTTCGATTTTTTTTTTTTATAAAATTTTCTTATATAAAAATATCAAAAAGATCGATGTTTTTTATATTTTTATAGCAAAAAAATTGTCGAAATATTTCCTAGATTTTTTTAAAAATGTTTTACTAAAAAAAATCGAAAAGTTTTCTCAATATTTTTATAAAAAAAAATTGTACCAATTTTACTTTTAAAGAAAAAAATCGAAAAAGAAATGTTAAATTTATTTTTGTAAGAAAAATTCGAAAATTGTGTTCCTCTGTTGGACGAATTTTTTGCTAAATTTCTAAGGAAAAAAATTCCACAAAATTTGTTTCGATAATTTAATAAAAAATTCGCCGGAATATTGTTGTATATTTTTATAGGGAAAAATTCGACGAAATTTTCTCTTTTATTTTAATACAAAATTTACTTATTTTTTGTGTATTTTTAATGAAAAAAAAAGTGAAAAAAATTTTTTGTATCACAAAGAAAATCAATTGTCTGTTTTTAGAATCGATTATCAAATCACTGTTCTGCAATTTTCTCCTTAATTTTTCATTTTCATTACCTTCAACTGTGGTAAAGGTATATTTAACAACGGGCTCATAAAGATACATTTTTCTTGCAAATTATGAATAACAAGAAAACTTAAATTTTCAATTAAATTATTTTTTTTTATATTTTTCAACCTTCTAAAAAAATTTTCGATGGTTTATTGCGCTCTTTGTAACTGTTTAATAATTTAATAACAACTAAATAGTTTGTTTTGTGGCATTGCTTTGCTGTCTGTTGTCTAAACCCCAAAAACCACAAACAAGGAGAAAAAAAAAACGGTTGAGGCAAGTTGACGTTTTTCACATTCCCTCTCCGCCCCGGGTGATTGTTTTTCCATTCTCTGTGACTTTGTGGTTTTTCTCAGAGCTTGTTTGTGAGTGTGTGTGTTTTTCTGATTGAACGCATATTGTGTTTTCATTTCAAATAATATATCGCGTCGGCTATACCAAATTTGTCTTTATGGCTTGGGTTTTGATTTTTTTGTTTTTGTTTTGCTTTATTCGGTTCTATTCTAATCCACGAAGCTGTAATGATTTGTATGGGTGCGTAGTATGAGAATCAATAAAAGAGGAGGAGTATAAAATTTCACAGGCAACAACAAAATGTTATAAAAAAAAAGATTTGAAAAACATTTTTTTTATTTAAAAAAAATTATAAAAAAAGGAAATAATTTAAAAAAAAAAAAACGAAAAAATTTATAAAAAAAATTGAAAATTTTTATAAAAAAAATTGAAAATTTTTATAAAAAAAATTGAAAATTTAAAAAAAAAATTGAAAATTTTGTATAAAAAATTGAAAATTTTGTATAAAAAATTGAAAATTTTGTATAAAAAATTGAAAATTTTGTATAAAAAATTGAAAATATTTATAAACAAATTGAAAATTTTTTATAAAAAAATTTTTAAAACTTTTCATTTTCATAAAAACAAAAATCAGCGAAATTTTATTTTTTTTAATGAAAAAAAAGAAAATTTTTCAACGATTTTTTTATTGAAATGAAAAAACAGAAAATTTCGACGAAATGGAAAAACGATAAGGGAAACAATATAGACAATTTTTTATAAAAATTTCTATGGTATTAGTAGAGAAATTATTTTTTCTAAATAAAAAAATTATAGATGGCTGATCGAGCTTGAGGTCAATATTTGTATTTATTTATTATTTTCCAATATTCATTGAATTTCATTTTATTGGAAAATAATAAATAAATACAACTATTGACCTCAAGCTCGATCAGCCATCTATAATTTTTTTATTTAGAAAAAATAATTTCTCTACTAATACCATAGAAATTTTTTATAAAAAATTGTTTCCACTATCGTTTTTCTATTTCGTCGAAATTTTCAATTTTTTTATAAAAAATTTTAAATTTTTTTATAAAAAAATTACAATTTTTTTATAAAAAATTTTCAATTTTTTTTATAAAAAATTTTCAATTTTTTTATAAAAACTTTTCAATTTTTTTATAAAAAATTTTCAATTTTTTTATAAAAAATTTTCAATTTTTTTATAAAAAATTTTCAATTTTTTTATAAAAAATTTTCAATATTTTTTATAAAACTTTTCTATTTTTTATAAATTTGTTCGTTTTTTTATAAATCGAGCTTGAGATCAATATTTGTATTTATTTACTATTTTCCAATATTTCGAAATTCATTGAATTTCATGTTATTGGAAAATAATAAATAAATACAAATATTGACCTCAAACTCGTCAGCCATCTATAATTTATTAAACATTCGAAAGGTCGAAAAATCATTAACATAACTAAATAAAAAATATAGAAAAATTTTTTTTCAAAAAATCACATCGAATAAAGCTTGAAAATAAAATCACCAAAAATTGTTTTATTACTAAATATTCCCCCTTTTTAAAAGACCGTCTTTGATTGTTGTTCATAATGATGGAAATGCCTACAAAATCGAATGATTTATTATGTGTGTGTACATCTCATTTTGTTGTGCAGTATTTTGTTTTTTTTATTTTTTTCTTGAAAATTCAAACAAAAAAACTGGCTTTAGATTGTCACACCTTTTATGGAATATATTTGAAAAATATTGTGAAAAACTTGCAAATTTTGGCATTGAATTCTTTGTCGTGCATTTTTGGTTAAGTGGATTTAACAAGCAACTGAATATAAATAAAAAACAATATATGAGAAAAAAAACTAAAAAAATAAATGGTCTATCTACAGAGTGGACGTTAAAAAAAAAATTAGAGCCCTTGGATTTAAAAACAAAATCGTTTATGCCCTTTACCACACTGTGGTACAGGGTGATATGTCTTTGTGCATATGTTTGTAACAGGCAAAAGGAAATGAGATAGACACAAGGTTCCTTTTGAGAATATGCATAGAATCACTTTCTAAGTCGATTTCTGCATGTCCGTCCGTCTGTCTGCCTGTCCATGTTTAATTGTAAAGAAAGCACAGACCGCATTTATTATTCGTATTGGATGAAATTTGGCACAGCTCATTCATTTGGCCCAAGGACGAACCCTATTGAAATTGAAAAAAAAATCGGTTCCGATTTAAATATAGCTCCCATCTATATTTTCTTCCGATTTAATGTAAATGGTGCACCAAAGTCCCTATATATCTTTAGATTTGAGCGGAATTTGGCACAGCGTACTGAATAAATTCTAGAATAATGTGTGCTATGTTTCGTGAAAATCGGTTCAGATTCAGATATAGCACCCATATATATTTTCTTCCGATTTAATGTAAATGGTGCATCAAAGTCCGAGCATATTTTTCGATTTGCGCGGAATTTGGCACAGCGTACTGAATAAATTCTAGAATAATGTGTGCTATGTTTCGTGAAAATCGGTTCAGATTCTGATATAGCTCCCATATAAATATATATATATATATATATATATTTTCGTCCGATTTTAGATAAATGGTGCACCAAACTCCTAATGTTTGTCCAATTAACACAACGTATCAAATTGAGTCTTGAATGACGTTATTGGGGTTCCATATGTATTTCGAACGGGTGTCTGATTGAGATCGAATTGTGAACAGTGCAGCGTAGCGAATATCGTGTGTCAATTTTGCTATAAATCATTTTCCATAAATTTATCCCATGGTACGCAGATGACTCCAAATCTGACCGAATAATATAAAATTTATCATAGTTTGCAGAAAGACATGAGTGTGTTCCTTCGAGCGACCATTGACATACAATTGTAAGGATACATATGTACAATGTACCCAAAGTGGTGAAGATTATCATATAGTCGGCCCAGTCCGACTTTACTACTTTCCTTACTGGTTTTATTATGTTTTAGGGTCGCAAGACGGGACCCAAAGACAAGGCTTGAATTTTTTAAAAAATATTTTTTTTTTTGATTTTGGTCCTTAGATAGTCATGGATTAAAAAAAAATTTTTTAATATTTTTAAGGGCTAAGACAATGCATGGATTTTTTTAATATTTTTATGGGTAATAAGGCAGGGTTAGTCCTGGATTTTTTAAAAATATTTTTATGGGTTAGTATAAAGCGACGTGGATTTTAAAGATAGTCTTGCATTTTTTATATATGCCCTACACAACTATGTTGTCAGGGTATTATAGTTTTGTGCAGCCCCAAAAGTTTATATCGCCACAAAATATTGGTCCTAGACCCACCTTTAAGTATACCGATCGTCATATCTCGACTAGCTGAGTCCATCTATCTAGACATGTGAGTCCGTCCGTCTGTCCATTATAATTTGTAAACACGATACAGGCCACATTTATGGACCAAGAAAGTTTGCATGTAGGATGGGTTCTCGCCAATGAAGACCCCTATTGCTTTTGGTAAAGATCGGTAAATATTTAGGGGATGAAATGGACCAAAAACTTTATTTTTGTTTGATTTTCTGGTCGCTCCAGAGGCCGCAATTATGGCCAAAACATCGCGAAATTTTACATAGAGAAGGGGATCGGATCAAATAATAAGCATGCCTGTTTTGATAAGGATCGGTCAATATTTAGCGGGTCAAATGGACCCTGACTTTTGTGTGGAAAATTACAAAATTTGTATTCTATGGCGTATAGATTCAAACCTGAAGGACATAGACCCGAAAAGTTGATAGTATATCCAAGGGCATTGGTTGACCTTTAAATTGATACCAATTATATGGTCGTATGTACTCAGATGTGGGAGTTAAACTTAAACATTTACAGGTGCTTATGTATTCAGATATTATTTAGTAACCCTTTACCACACTAGATGGCGGAAATATAGCGCTGATCGCTTTAAAATGTTCCATGAAGTTCCAGTTATGGTCAAGGATAACGCCTATAACTTCCGGCGACGATCAGATAATTATATTGTGATGAAGTGGACCCAACACTTAATTTTTTGTGTTTTTTCCAGTCGATCTATTGGCTCCAATGGGAATAAGAAGATCACAACACATGGGATGGGAATCTGGACAAGTAATTAGAAGGGTTGTACTGAACATTAGTAATAATTGTCGGCCTCTAGTTGGTCCAGAGGGTACAAATATCGCGAAATATTGCCCAAGCTAAGAATTTAAATCCACAGAATGTTAGTTTTTCGTGGAAGTTGTGTAGGGTATCATATGGTCGGCCCCGGCCGACTATACTGCTTCGCTCACTGGTTTAAAAATATTTTTGGGTCCCTTGATTTTTGTAAAAATAATTTTTCAGGCTTCTAAGATTTTTGAAAAATATTTTTTTAGTGTGCTTAAATATTTTAAAGTTTTTCGAATTAAAAAAATATTTTTTAGTGGCCTAAGAATGTGTTAAATGCTTTAATAAAATTTATGGGGTCCCTGGATTAAAAAAATAGGTTCCCCGAATTTTTATGAAATATTTTTTAGGGTCCCTAAATTTTTTCAAAATATTCTTTAGTTTACTCGGATTTTTAAAAAAAATATTTTTTAATATCGTTGATTTAAAAAATATATATTTTTTAGGGTCCTCGCATTTTTAAGAAATATTTTTTAGGTTCCTTGACTGTTTAAAAAACAATCTTATGGTCTTTTTGGACTTTTAAAAAATTTTTTGGTTTAAAAAAAATATTTTTTAGGTTCCTGGAATTTTAAAAAAAA